CTAACAACGCTTCTCTTTCTCTCACTATATACTCATCCATGACGTCACATAATTACATTTTCTACTACGAGATGGGGGAATGTCTGTTGCCTTGGTAACCTTACTGCCGCTACTCGCATCGTCATCAATCATTGTGCAGCGGGGTGGCTCTTCTCCCATACCTTACCTCCTCCTCACCCCCAAAGCGATCGGCTGAGGTAAAGCTACAAGTATGTATACTTGTAGACCGCCCACAGGGTTGTCTATGAAACACATAAAATTTTGCTCCTCGGTCATCACGTCTGGTACAACGTGCAACGTGCCCCGGGACATGTCGTTGGTTTCGTAAAGGAAATTGGGAGATTCCTCTTTCCATAATGAAATTGTCTCCTCGTACAGTTCGAGAGAGTCAAAAGAGTTCTTTCTCGTGGGATGGGATGCGTTTAACAGTTGATAAATGAAATCGTTTGCTCTTCTAATCCCTTGCCAATGATTTGGTATCAAATAGTTGCCTCTTACAATGCACCACACGTACCTACTGTTTGGTGAGGGGGAGTTGTTTTCTTCGCGTTGTCTCCTCTGAGATTTCTAAAGGATTTTCTCATTTCTACCATTCTCCAAATGGTAGAAATTTCTGTAATTGTGTAAAAAAAAAAACGAAAACAAAAAAGCCACCCTCCCCCTCGAAACACGCGCGAGGATTTGCCCATAGATGCTAATAAACTCGTAAAGATTAAAACTAGTAGAGTACTTGTTAAATTAATGTTTGTCGTACTTATCGTGAAAGCATCCCCCCCTCTCTTACCGCATCCTTATCAATGGTTTGCTGTGTTTTATCTCGTGGACAAATGTCAGCGAAAACGTCATTACACCATCATTAACGAACTTTCACACCTACATTGTCGTTGGCGCCAATCTGTTCGGATCACGTGATGTCCCAAAGAGAAAGACCTGTTTCCTCGTGGATTCTCAGCTGCCAGACGTGATACGAGCAACATTGCATGCCCCGGGGTGGATCGGTATTACCGCATTGTTCCTTCGACCAAGTCAAGGTCGTATTCACTTTTTCCATTTGGGAAAACAACGTATACAATAAATACCATCGAATGGTCATTTTCTTTTTTTTTTCACACTCCCACCCCCCCGTTATAACCCTCTATTTCGGGGACCACTTCTAAAACACTGTAGATTTGGTACGGAAGAACTCGAGGATGGCATCCCGTATCGAAATTAATTGTAGAGAGTGGGGGGAGGAGGAGTAGGATTCGTGAACGTTGTGTGTGTATAAAAATCCCTTTTTAAAACAGTTTTTCTCGTGTTTTCTGATGGCAAATTTAACGGAGGGAAGGACACAAGAATGTGATGCTCTTCATTAAGGATTCTAACGTGTTCTGGTGTCAAAATATATAACTAAACCCCCTGTATAGGACGTGACAGTTTTTCTCGAATCAATCAATGACGTCATTTCGTGATAGATGCGAGACTAAGCCATTCTATAATCCACGTCAGATGGAAGCTGGGGTGTGTGTGTGTGTGTGTGTGTGTGGACAGGATCTCATCCCACAGCTTCATCAATAAGCATATTGCACCGTACAGAGGAGAAATTGTATCGCGCGTAACACCTGTTCAATCACATTATCGCCTTCTATCGATAATCGATATCGAAAAATAATCGATTAATAGTTACAAATCTGGTATCTGTAACGAGAAACTTAAGCAATTTTAGAAAATTCCGAGCTATTTTGTGTGTGTGTTTTTTTTTCTCTCTCTTCTTTCTAGAACGGCTCACGCTCTACTTCACTTTTGAGAGAGGGGGAACGAGAGAGAGAGAAAGAGAGCGATTATACAAAACGGTGTTATTCATAACTTTTAACTCTCCCCCCCACCCCCGATATTAAATCAAACACGAAACTAAATTCGTAGTTTCGACTAATGAAGCGCATAATGATGGAAAACGAGAACAAAATGCAGGTAGTCCACTTTGCGTGGGAGTCTCGTGGCAGTGGCTGAGTCAACTTGTAATGCTTATCCCGCTCTTCCATCTCCCGGGGAGGGTGAATCATCGTATCCCGGGTAACTGTTACTATGACAACAGAACATGGAAGATTGGTCAGTACAATAAACAGCCCGCTGCTCGAATAAACAAACGATGTGGATGAATCACCATCATCCTCATCTGCTACCACATCCGTAGAGGAACCATCACCAATGGTCAGTGTGTGTGACTCAAGATATATAGTCATTATACAAAATGACCTACATTAATTAGTGTTCAGAGAGCGGAAATCTCAGTATCTACTGCTTAGAAATTCGATGATGAATCTGTAAAAGATACGAGAGATTCAACCATTAATTCGACAAGGGGGGAATGTTTCTAGTTATATTTTTAGGCAATAAATCATTAAGTTTGATGTTAAATTTCGAAATTTGTCGATCGATGCGTGCTCCATTAAGATGGCATCGAGAGGGAAAATATATAAAAGCATCCATCCGATAGCAAGCAGCGATCCGTCAATCACTTTACAGATCTCTTCCCTCTCCCTCCCTCTCTCTCTCTCCATCTTGCACATTATTGATTTAAGAGGAAACTGTATATCCAAGAATCTTCACATCTCGATAAATTGTCCTATCGATGTTTAAACACTGCAATAATTTCAATTTCTCATCATCCAGCATCCTCATCCTTCTTCAATTAATGGATTTAGATGAGGAAAAATCGTGGCTTCAAAATGGCTCCCGAAACGTTAACAAATTGACTTCTGTACGAACAGATGGATGCTATTGATCCATTATTCAAATTAGTCGACATCCCCACCTCGAGGTTTATCCGAATTACATTTTAATTGGTGTTAAACCAATAGGAAAATGGAAGATCTCATTGCGGATGGTGTATAGAAAAAAAAAAAGAAAAATAATAATAATAAAAGAACAACAAGGGAATTAGATAAGAATGAACCACTCACCTATAACATAAAGAGGTTCCATTAGGTACAATGTTATGATCGAGTTGAAAAAGCTGACGTGTTGTTTGACATCCCAGGTGAGAGGTTAACTCAAGTGACTATTGTATTCGCTCTCTCTAACTTTAATTAAATTCTTCTTTCTTGTGTTTTTTATCTCTTTAGCTCTCTCTCTCTCTCTCTCTCTCTTTTCCACTTAACTCTGTACAACCGGAAGAAGTGTGTTGCATTAATACAAAAAAAAGCACAAAAAAAAGCAAAGTGACTCGTCTTTCTTTAGGACAATGGCCTCAAATGTTGGATATAAGGTGAGAAATTCAAAATGGACCCTCTTCTCTATTCTGGGTGTTAATAAACTCAAGTTCATTAAACGCAAATTGCTCTCTAGCAATTGTTATCGTTTTGCCTTTTATAAACAGGGGGGATTTAAAGCCAGTTCTGCTTTTATCTTTTGAGTATCTTTTCATACCCCGTCATCAGAAATCCTCTCATAATGCCATTAATTAATTAATTTCGCGCGTAGATTATAGGAATTAAGCCGCATTCCTCTCTCGAGTTCATTTTCCTCTTCCTTCGCTTATCTTTCCCCCCCCTCCTCTCGTATTTAATGCCCCTCTCCACCCCTGTTTGTGTTCGAATCTTGTGTTATCCTGAATGCAACGTGGCTATTAGAATATCTTCGTAACCAGAAATATTCTTCTCAGGTTAGAATATTCTACTGTCACGATACTCGAATACACTTGTACCACGAGGTTCTAGTGTTTAAAATACAATAGCATTGTGCTACTGTCAATGCTCCGAGTTCGAACATCCTGTTCTCACTACGCTCTAATCTTTGAATATTCCTCTCTCGGTCATATCACGTGATTATCTAAACCCCCCCTACGTAACGTTACTGTTAATTAATTATAAAACGTAACACCAAAATAAGGAGAAATTTTTAAGTATTTAAAGCATTTAGAAGGCGATAAAGAAGGTCATTTAATACAGGAGTAACGCAAACAATGCGATTTATATATATATATAAATCGTAACGCTATTTATGTTGTTGTATGGAAGGAAACTGTGAATCGTAACATTCTATAACAATATACTGAAAGGTAGTAGATGAGTCGCTCAAGCATAACCACCGTTACTCTATTGTTTCAATGGGGAGAGAGAGAGAGAGAGAGAGAAGAGAGAGAATTCTCTTAATAACGACAGAGTTCAAGGTTACGCTACCAATAATCATTGACTGATGTTACCTTACTAAAGTGAAGGGATGTATGAACCGACCTGGCCTGACATAACGTTATATCCCGCATACAAAAAGGGGGATGGGGAGGAGGAGGAGGAGGAATGGAATATGCGCGTTTTAGAAGACGTAAGTAACGTAATATCGGGGATTAGAGAGCATTTTCTTCTAATCTTTTGCAAGGGGGGAAGGAAAAAAAACCCGAGCGATTATCGTCACGTAAATCGAATTTGTCACGTGTGACGTCAAAACGTCGAAACGTATTTACTAAGAGCTTTTCTCCCAGAGGATTTGGTGGAATATTTCCTATACCGGGGGGTCAAGGTTGTGAGAATGCTATGCGACGAGGCCCCGCGTTACAACGTCCACGTATCGCGGGGGGGGGAGGAGGGTGGAGTTGTACAGAGGGGGAAAATCGTATCGTTTTTCTCTCACGGAAAAAAAAATTAAAAAAAAAAAGATCGAAATTTCTACATTTCTGCAACAGGTTGGTGTAAAAAAAAAAAGAAGAACGGGGACGAGCTTCTACCCCGAGCGGAAACAAAGGTAGCCAATGGGACGTTTAAGCCGGTCACGTGACCGGCTCGGCGGGACTCGGACGACAAAGAGGACAACAGCGCCATCTTGCGTCCCCCACCGCCGATTTCCGACCCACCCCCGGCATTCAGGTAAAAGCGGTGGGTAAAGCAGCACCCAGAAGCCCTCGGGCCACGTTGAGCGTTAGACGTTAAAACAGCCATTCCTAACGTTGTAAGTCGGTCCGGTCGGTCCTCCCCCTTCCAATTTCTACACGTGCTGTTCCGACGGATGCCTCCTCCTTCCTCACCTTACTTCACCTCACTTTTTTTTTTTTTCTTCTTCCAGGCACGGTTGCCCCCCACCTCGAACCCAACCGACCAATCGTAAAGCTACTTTCACTTTAATTGCCTAGGGCAAGATTTGGGCTATTTAAATAGCTAGGAAATAACGGACCGGGCCTTAGCAGGTAGTTCTGTCGATAGACACAGTATATATCTATATATATATATATACTGTATACATATATACACGTATATATAGTATTTTGCTTCCATTGATCCATACAGACCAGACGAAGAAGACTGGGGACTACGACAACCTCTCAGGTAAGCCATTCTTCTCTTATCTTTCGCCGCTAGAAGGATGTTCGTCGCTCGTCCTTCACTTCTCCAGTCGTGACGCTTCGGTGCACTGACCGATACTCACTCTCGCTTTCCGCTGGTGTGTTCGGCGGGTTTGCCACGTTCACGGCACCGCACGTTCGTTAATTAACACTGTTCTCCGCTCCCGGTGCTCCCCCCATTAACTCCCAAGCTCCCAACTAGGAATTACGGACGGTAAAGGTGAGTTTCTTTATCTTTTAACAATTTGCAATGCGGTACCGGGGGGGGGTACCTTCGTCGGTTTTTGGCACCGGGCTCTTCCACGTCGTAATGGTCTCATTGTTAGTAAGGGGTCTTTCTTCTTCGTAATTTGGTATTAATCCCGCTCTTAATAATGTATTCTTTGTAATTTGGTAGTAGACTCTTTGCAATGGATCCATTGTCTGGAGCTCAGGATCTTCGGATGGGCGCTACGTTTCTAATGGGTATTTGGGATGGTAGTTTTTTTTTTTTTTGTGTAAAACTAATCGAATTATGTTTAATTAAAGCAACAAAACAATAGGGATTTAGTAATTAATCCCTCTTTGCCGGATCCTCCGATGTACAGTACCAAACTGTTGTCTACTACAGAGGTGCACCCCTAAAAAAATCAATTATTTAGTGCATCTAAAGTACACAACAAATTAATTTCCCCTCAATTTAACACTAGAAAAATTAGATAATTGATTAAGAATCTTTCATACTTCGACCTAAATTCTCTGACTTTCTACGTCCTTGTACTATATATACGCAACCTTCGTATATTTCACACCATGGGTGTATCACAATTCCTGGGGTGTTCGGGCTACCGATAGAGCGTATACTAACCATCGTCTACATCATACAACACGCCATTAAACGATAGAAGCTATACTCGTTAACAATTAAACGAAGGATTGTATAGAGAGAGAGAGAGAGAGAGAGAGAGCCGCAACTCATCTTCTCCATTTGTGGTACCCCCCTTCTATCTCTATACACCTCACCATTACTAAATTAAGATTCTAAAGAGGAAACATACGGCACGGAATGTATTAACTTCCTCAGGGGGGATAGGGGAATGTAAATTCTTTCCATTTTCATTCCTACTATTAGGGGTGAGCGCCTGGTGTTTCTTTTTTCTTTTCTTTTTTTTCCTACTGTAGGGGCTTTCGATTTTTATAATTTATTATTACGGTAGTAAGTATAAATTAATAAGGGGACTACTGTTATTACTACGGTAGTATTTTTCTCTTTAATTGCTAACATTCGACTTTCCTCTTCGTATGTAATTTACTTCTAATGATTGCAAAGAAACACACACACACAAACAGGGGAGGGGGGGGAAAGAAAGTAGTGTCACGTTGGGAATGTTGATGGATTTTTCTCGATCCCCCCCTCTTATTTTTCTTTATTTTAAAATATATTTTGAATTGCAAATTAGATAAAGTTACTCTATAGAGAGGGGTCTTTACGTTCTAAAAAAAAAAAACACCTAAAAAAACCCCCCGTCTTTGCTAATACTACTAAATTGAAAGAGAAAGGGGAGACGTTTCGTAAATAAATAAATAAATAAATAAATAATTTTATTTTAGTACAAAAAAATTACAAATAAACGTGTAATTTTTTTTTTTTTTTGAAATTTCTCGGAATGTTGAATCTAAAAAAGTCGTGACGCAACGTAAACAAGATTTTCGTCTGAAATTTTAAAAGGGGGCAACGTAAAAGAACAATAGAAAAATAATAGAAATATGCTTATTTAATAAAAAGAAAAAGAAATTAGGACGCGAAGCAGCAGCAGCAGCAGCAGCAGCAATGGGTCACAAAACTCTTTACGTATAAAATAATTTAACTGTTCTACGTCACTAATTTCTTTACGTCAAATTGTAAATTTATGTTGTAATTGACTTGTGTTACATTCAATTTTCTTGTGTTTCTTGAGTCACAATTGGTTCTTTGGTGTTTCAAGAATCGAATCTCTGAGCCAAGAACTGTTTTTAACTGCCAACTAGTGTGTTTTTTTTTTAACTGTTTGGACACTACAAAAATCGATTGATTTGTATATTCGGAACTAGTTTTTAAACACTAGATTCGAATTTAATTAATTTCTTTTCGAGTAATTAAAATAGGGGCGTGATTTTTAATTTTTTTAAAGACAGTTTCGAGTGTTGAATCAGCATTAGCCTCCACCCCGTCTAACTATTCAGGAAGTATTTAACAGACGCCATCGCACTTGTTATACAACTGCGGAAGCCATGTCTTTGGCATGCCTTCGGCAATACTTCTGTCGCATTTATCTATTCACTAACAACTTTTCCTTCCCTAACTTAATTTCCTACTTGGCCTTCAATTTGCGCGAAAGAACGGTAAGCATCCCTCTTCGGTTCTTTCCTCCTTATCTCCCTCCCCCCCCCTCTCCGCACCTTAAATCGCATACGAACAAATCTGACGATTTAAATTGTAATTCCCCTGGCTTATTCCACTAACCTTATAACTAAATACTTGGTAGGGTTTGGTGGGAGGGAGTGTCGTTCGTTCCTTGGAGAGAACAACACTTCCTTCTGGAATTGCCCACGCCCTATAGTAAAAGACCCTTGGGCTCCGGTAGTGAAAGTCGCCAATCCGGGATGGGTTTTAAGTTCGTTGCACTAATCATGTGATTAAGGGGCGTGGGAGGGGTCAGACTCGAAAGCTCCAAGACCCGAAAACTGAGATACACGTGAGCATCGATGTGCCAATGACATTCAAACTCATTTAGAATTTTAATGAGGGGGGGAGTTTTAAGTAAGCGGTGCGTAAAGAATCGAAAACTACTTTTTTTCTTCTTGTGTTTCTTTTTTATTTATTTATTTATTTATTTCTTGTGTTATCAATCTGGATTTGACGTTGGATAAGATTTACTACTTCCTCCATTTATAACATCCATTTATTTTTCTAGATAATGTCTTTATTACATCCCTCATAAGCTCAAATTTCTACACAACTACAATAACAATTTGTGAACGACAAATGTTCTAGATCCTTATCAACAATTGATCACCCTCTGGTAAATAACCCCTGTTAGGTGCCTATCTTTCTTTGCCCCAAACCAGTTTCGTCATCAACTTTCAAAGTGGATAAAAATGAAACTGGTGGAAGGATCTGTCAACACTTTAAAAGATGTTGACCCCTTTAAACCCTACACACACACACACACACACACGAATAACCTGCAATACACTATTATACTAGTGTAACATCCCCCCCATATACATTACGTATCCTTTAAAACCTTAATCTGAATAATGATATAGTTGTATATTAAAGGATGGGATGGATCAATATCCACATTTATTCTATCGTAACCATTAAAGAAACCCTCTTTTAATGGTCCACTCCCTAATCTACGTTTTGCGGAAATGCGTAACCACTTTTATCTTTTTAATACCTCCGTTAATTTATCACCTAGATGAAGCGTTGGGTAACAAACATTGTAATGATACTCCTGCGGCCTGTACGTTTGTCTGTCCTTTGACACCGTACAGAACAATAACCGAGGGAGCAAGAAGTCGGATGTCATTACTACCGGTGGAACGTTGACAAAAAAATGTCCAGACCGAGTTTCATTTGTTACAAAAGAATTGTAGTAATGGCGCCAAGTCGAATATAATGTAGCAACCAGCGTAACGAAGGTATCTAAACACGTATATTGCAAATGTTAGATGTTTTTTTTTTTTCCTTTTTATCAGTGGCAGTGATGAGTTTACCTTGTATCAAAACCCTTCTTTTTTTTCTGTGTGTGTTGTTCTTTCCTCACTTTCGTCCCCCCCCTCTCGAACATTCCTTTCATGATTCGGTGCAGATTCTTTATTAAACAGATCACGCTTTTGTGTCGCTTCACTCAGGGTCACCAACGTCTGAAAGAATTGTAGGTTGCAAGAGGTGGGTGGATTATCCTCTGACCTTCTATAATGGCAGTGACCCTTACAGACGTAGAGGCAATGCCCGCTTCTTACTGATTACAGAATGGGTTAGGCAGACACTCGATACTGACCTTTAACCCGCGCCGATGTCTTTCTCGTAATACCGACTTTTGAACACTTTCTCCATCGTTAAATCCAGGTGTTTTTTGTTTTTTTTTTTTTAAATGCTCTTCTTCTTTTTTATCGTCTCATCTGGATTTACAATGGTAACAACTGTGCAAGTGGTGCATCATATCACCACAAATTGGGTAATTAGTGAGTAGTAGTCGAGTCGATCGCCTGTTTATCTCGATGGACGATAATAATGTCGTGAACCGTGATGCCATTATTTGTCACGAAGACATTTTATTTTATTATTATTATTTTTTTTAAAGAATACTTCGTAACAAGACACTCCTTTCGTATATTACAGGTACAGTAACCGTAGACTATGGGTGAAGCCTTCAAATGGACGGCAACGGGGGTGATCTTCCTAGCATTTTTTTATTGTGTTTATGCAGGTGAGTGTGTATATATACAACTTTCTGTAATTATTGTATACAAAAGTTTAGTGTATTGTTACTCCTTTAACCTTAATGGATCGTTACCGTCGAGAGCACGTTTCGTCTCCGATTCGACGTGGGTATGTTATTACTCTCTTGAATTAATTCCGGTTAGCGTAACAGATCCGAATGTTCCCACGTAACGAGATGTGTATAATTGTCTACGGGAGTGGAATTAATGTTGTAAATACGAATCTGGTTCGAGTTCTGTAGAAATTGTACAGGTGTTTTTCATTAGTATAATGCTAGAACCAGTGAAAAAAAAAAAAATTAGTTTTTCAATTGTCTCTTACACGTAACATCGTAATATACTACAGAGAAGAGATGAATAAACTGAAGTTAGTTCCCAGAGAGTGTAGTTTTCCTTACTCCATTTACGTAACATACTGTTTATAATGAAGTTTTCCCTCTTATGATGTAAACAATTAGAAGAAGATAGTGGCGTAACGAATAAGTTTCGAGAAAAATCACTTGCTACACTTTAAAAACTTTACATCTGAGAAAAATTACACCTCGGTTGTTACAACATTTCGGGCGTAACTGTATGTTCATTATTCGAAATTCTAGATAATCCAATTTCTCTAGAATTTGCAGAATTCTATGGTACTAGGTATTATAGCTCTGGAATAATGTACAGGAGCATGGTACTAAGAATAGATCTTGTACAAAGTACAGTACTAGAGGATGGTACTAGAAGTATGAGTCTAGAACACGATCCAATACCTAAAGTTTCGATAAATAAAGCGTAAAAACGTATAGAGTGTAAAATGGTTACACCCCTAAATAGTGTCATATAGAGGTAAAAAAAAATCCCTCACTTTTAAGACTTTACAACATCTAGAAAGTCGTAACGAGTAAAGAATTCTTTCAATAATAGTAGCCATAACCCGTTGTATAATAGTCTGCAGACACAACGTAACACACAAGCATCATAGGAAACACCCTCATTAATCATCAGTCGTTTTGCCGAGTTTTTCGGTAAATAATTTGTTTGACGAGATCGTGACACGAAGGGTGAAAAGCCAGGTGAGAAACAACCTTGACCCAGTTCCGAATACAATAAAGAACGTAGACGAGAGGTGAGTGCTACACAATGATTCTCCCGTCAAAACTCATCGTGATAACTCCACCAAGTAACACCTGGTTAGCTAGTCACCACCGAAGGGCTACCTAAACGTACGCATGCGTACCAAACTTCCGGTCCGTTTAGGGGACGTGATTAATTACGTAGGGGGAGTCATCCGGGCACAATGGACCTTAATTATTCTTCTAATCTGGCAGATTTTGCTAGACGTGTTTCCTGCGATTTTATTTGTCTTGATTTTGTGTTTTTTTTTTCTTTCTTTCGATTTTTGCCATCGTTTATTTTAGCAACTGTCATTAAAGAATGGCTTGGCTGTAAATCTCAAAAAAAAAAATCCCCCTTAAATGATCGAAAATTCCTTCAAATTTAAGCTGCTTGTAGTACATAATCCAAGAGAAATTCGTTCTAGAAGCTTTCTTACGTTTAATCCAAGCTGCTGTCAGAAATTTACATAATTCTAGATAAATTGAATTGTCTAGAAGTTCTATACGTTAAGTGGGATCTACAAAAATTCTATTTAATCGGATTTATTAGAAGGGATGATTTCCCTCTCCCCCACAAAAAATATTCTAGATAAATCAACTTTTTTAGAATTCCGGATAATTCGAATTATCTAGAATTTTCCGGATCACTCGAGTTGTTTGGAAAATTATTTAGATTGCCTAATGAGAATTCTGTTCGTAATTAAAATATTAATAGTTATAGATAATTCAACTTATCTAGAATTTCTGGATAATTCAAATGAATCTAGAACTTCTACGCAAATTATTCAAATTATCTAGAACTGACTCGTAACGTAAGGTTTATTTAAAGGATACAAAAAGGGCACGTAACATGGAGACTCCTTCAATATTTGTTTAGTTACGTTACAAGTTATCCTTTAGAAGGATAAAATAACGAAGTGACATTCTCCTACGCTCTTAAATAATTAAATATTTCGCGATTTACGCGACAGGATAGCCATTTTTTTTTTTTTTTGTATCTTCTTCGTAACAAAAACGTGACGCGTGACGTTTCGACCGAATGCGATTACCGCTCGGGGGGGGAGGGGGTGGAAACGTTTGAAAATATCGGTTTCTATAGGCAAAGTATGTTTTAAGAATAGTAATTCGCTTTCCCCCTTTTCGCCTGGATGAATCATTTGCAAAAAAAAAGGGTTTTCGTCATCCGGACAAGGACATTTCCATCACTAATTCTCTTACAACCTTGTGTGTATATAAATTTATCTCTTTTCCCCCTTTCTCTATTATTTTAAATGCGCTGTTTTCCTCAATTTTTTCACAGTTTATATATACCTATTACTATTTTTAGGAATGATAATTCATAAGAAAAAAACGTGGCGTTTCTTAATACTTTTACCAATCCAAACAGCAATTTCTTCTCAATCATTCTCCAAATTTACCATTTTACTTCAATTGTTTTTTTTTTCTCTTTAAATTATTTAATTAAACACACGAAACATCGTATCTTTCCAGAATTCCCCCTCTCAAAACATACTTTTTCGAGCATCTACATTTCGAATCCTTCAGAAAATACTCCACCCCCCTTTTCTCCTTATATCAGATAATAATATTTCCGAATGCCGTGTTAAAAAATTGATGACACGAAGCGAATCCTTTTCCTCCTCCTCCTCCTCCTCCTCCTCTTCTTCTTCTTCTTCCATCCTCCACAACCAGACGTAAGATTCAATCCTCGATACCTTCAGAATCGAGTGAAAGTAACTCGAATAGTTCGTGTGTGTGTGTGGGGGGGGAAGGAAACGGATGCACTTCGTACAGATTAACATCAATATTTAAAGTACCGTCGTGTCGCAATTTCTAAAAATTCGTGTGTTCTTTTTTTAGAATCTATACAAAAGGTAATTGCTACGGAAGTTTTCTTGGTGTTTTCATAGATTTTTCCTGCTGGACAGAATAAAAAAAAAAACACACACACACACACACACATAACGTCGATTGCCTTGAACGTTTGTTAAGATACGTGTTCGTCGATGTGTATGCAATTATTATTCAATATTGCTGTTATTATCTTGCTACTGACTCATCGATAAATATCTCTTTAAAAGCTTTAACAAAATCGATAGAGGATAATTTAGTGTTCTTTTTTTTTTATATTATTATTTTATTATATATATATATATATTTCTCTCTCTCCTTCTAAGAAAAGCAGAACACGTGATGAAATTTCGCTGGAAAGACGAAAAATGATATTTTTTACGTGTTATCTCCTCCCTTTAGAGTGATTGTGAAGGGTCGAAAATTGAATTTTTTTTTGTGGATAGAACTAGAAAGTTTGGTTCGATTTTTTTCTTTTTTTGGGGGGGTTAATAAAGTGTAGATACGTCTCCACCTTCAGAAATTGTAGATGTGTCTTGGCATATGTTTAAAAATTCAAATTCGTCTTGATTTCTACGTGTTCACCTTCAAAAAATGCAAATACACCTTCACGTTTACGAGTGTTTTTTTTTTATTTACGATTTAAATCTACACATTTGTACGTGTTCACGATTCAAAAAAACACACACATTACAGAACACGTATCCTCTTCATCCTACCCTATTGGTGCTTTATTGTATCTGCGAGTGTTCCTTGTCCTCTTTCGTATGCACGTTATAATTTCTTTTTTTTTTTGTACTTTATAAGCACGTACTGTACAAGTTCGTGTACGAAGTTGTTTATCGTACGGGGTGTGAGCCCTTTTGTAAAAATTCTGGTTGTGCTCTATGGAACACGTTATAAAGACGTCGGTAGCGGATGAAGGGATGAAAGGAAACGTGTGGATTCCTATTAAATTCGTGGCACCCCGCTTGATACATCCTCCGAAAACAATAGGAAAAAAAAAAATCGATTAGTTATTTTTCACGTCTCGCGGCCGTAACAATTCTCCAGTCTTTCAATATCGAAAAAGGTAAAAGATCGTCCTTGAAAAGCGACCGAGAAAGGTCAGGAAACCATTGTCGCCTTTGGCCATTTTTACGTCACGTGATCGCGATTGTCAATCGTTCATCAATTGACCTTTAACTATAGTCCAAGGTCGATAGCGGAAGAACAAAAACAAATCATTTTCTTCTTTTAAATTTTAACAAGATAAATACCCCCCCCTCCTTTCGATATTATCATAAAATAATAAAACTGTTACGCGTAACTTTCATAAAAATAATAATAATAAAAAAAATGTCACTTCTTTTCATTGAAAAACCTTCCAAAAATGTTTATCCTCGCGCCTCCGGGTATAATTAACCCAAGTTATACAATACGTGAGGTAAGTCTGGCCCGATCTTACCTGGAGAAGGTCAATCAGTTAGTAGGTCAGCAGCTGACAGGTGTGAGGTAGGAGCAGACAATAGAGATGGGAGAAGTTCTGTACAACGCCACTCCCTTGTTCCCACGACTAGTGCAATATTGTGTTTTTCGACATTGCGGGGATTTTTCCCGCTCTGGTATGTTGTCCTATCCTATTAGGACTCATGGGAAATTGAAGATTTTTGTAACAATCGCTCTTAAATTTCTCAAGGATGAATTTCTTTGCAACTCCTGTCAACAAATATTCCGCTCCACAGTTACGTCTGCAAACATACAACACGGCCAATCTAAGCTATTCTATCCAACCGACACCCAATTTCAATAGGGAAATAATCTGTTCTTCCACAGATTACAGTATATGTTAAATACAATATAGAAGAGTGAGGATATCCGATGAGGTGGTATATATCCCCATTGTTATAAATTTGAATTAAAGCTATGAATACTTTAAGGAATTTAAGGCATTCAATATTTAAGTGATTCGTTGAAGGAAGAACAGTGAGCAACCGAGCGAAGATCAACACTGAGGAAGGATGAATCGTATGAAAAAGGATCATCTTGAACCATTGAAGAAAAATTACCTGTGAAATAAGAGAAGTTAGCATTGAAATAAATGAGTTGGTAAGAAAGGTGAGCAAGGGTGAAGATTCAGAAAGCATGGACACCGTGGAAGCACCGTTGAGCCATTCAGAATGGATGAACACTGTGGAGGCACCGTTGAGCCATTCAGAAGGGATAACACTGTGGAAGCATCAGTGAGCCATCATGAAAAACTTGATTCATTGAGAAACAGCTCTAAGAAGGGGTAAACTACCGAAGAGATACGAATGAGAAAGGAAAAAAAACGAGCCGCTGAAGAAAGATGAAAGAACAAGAAAAAGAATGAGCCCTTACTTTTATCTATTGAGTAAAGTCACTGGATAAAAATCAGAGCAAATTAAAAAATAATGAAAAAGAATCAGACGAAACAATTGAGAAAAATTACACTCTCGAAGAACACATCTTTTCAGTTTACCCAACACGAAATCCTGACAAGACACTTTACACCTTTTTTCCCTTAAAATGCTCGAACGTCAAATCGTGAATTACTACGTAACGAATTTACAAAAAGTCTTAAACGAACGTGAGGTAATAAATATTTACCGTATACACAACGGGGTAATTAATGAGCACGAGCGGAGTACATTCATTTCTCTTCAATCACTTAAGATAAATATTAAGCCATTAAATTATCCAGGTAAAGATAATCAAATGTTAGTAATTAAACTAATATTAATGTATATATTTCCTAAGTAATTTACTTTCGTGAGACAGTATAAATGGATAATAACTCCATCCATCTTCTAGAATCCTTAACTTTAACAGGAGCTCACTGATAAAGAGGAGAAGAGACAGCAGCAGCCAACCGGTTTGATGATGGTTTCAGGGGAATCCCCTAAATTTATACGTGCCATTTATACGTGTATATACAATTTATACTGTCCGTCTAGTAGATTTCTATAGGTATACAACCTTAAAGATGCTTACCCCCTAATCTCCTGTATCCAACGTAATTATTTTGTTTAAATTCGTGACGTGCATGCTTCGTGAATATAAAATTATTACTACTTTATGATTAAAAACAAAGGATAAACTGAAATTCTTCTATGATATCTGATTTAAAAAAAATATATATATATATATAAATTTCTGAGAGGGACAAATAAGGAAAGTCTGATAGTGTTATTACGACTTCCTCGTTTTCATTGTTTATACAAGAACAATGTTATAACAGTACTTAATGATATATAACTATTTGGATATCTGTTATCCATAGGGTCATTCAGGGTCGAGACCGGATTTTTAGTAAATAGAAATATCATGCAAGCTTCAACGAGTGTCGTTAAAATGGTGGTCCTGCATTCTTGTTGATTCTCCTATATATTGGTTCATCTATACGTTAGTTCCTATCTCCTATATTCGCCTACATATCAATCCTAATGCTATAAATTTATTCTTCTATACATTTTCCCCCATCCCATCTACTTATCTACCTGTATATATTAGTCCTTTTCTATGTATAATTTAATAGGCAGAATCGTGAGAAACGACACAGCGATGCGTCAAAACACCAACTTATCCAAATACCAATCTATACACTTTAAAGTAGGATATACGGAGAGGGAGTGATTAATTTCCACACCGGAGGAATTAAACACCAACGGCAAATAACCCACCACAAGAGAGAAAAAAAAAATTCGAAGATAAATTGAGTCAGAGCCATAAAGTTAAGAGATGAAACTGTAGATAAGGATATTGATGCGGTGTCATTTTTTTTTTAAAAAGAAAATCCTCCCTTTATAAAATTTACAATAATTCAAGCAAATTCGATGTAGTTTTAATTAAAAAAAAAAGGAGGAAGATAATCGAGATGAGTCAGAAGAGGGACGAGTTAAAAGTTATAGCTTTATTAGTCACATAGGCATCATCCCCAGAGGGTTCTTGACCCCTTTCATAACCAAACGTTCAATCTCCCGCATTAACAGAAGAGCCTGGGGGTAATCTTTTGTGGAGATGTCTCAATTTCTTAATAATTACGCTCGTAAAGAGTCGATTTTTATATCCAAAACTCGAGTGAATACTTTAATTAATTTTTTTTAATTATGTAAAATAAGCCAAATGACTAGCTAGTGTTATAAATTTGAAAATATCCCTGTTGTACGTCTTGGAATAAAAAAAAAAGAAAGAGAGAGAGAAATTATTATTATATTCGAAGTGTTTAAACATTAAGAAACAGTTGAGTGATGGAGCAGAAAATACATCTGAACATTTTTATTTTCTGTTTGGCTTTAGGGATTTTTATTTCGTTGCCATAAACGATCGTTAGGCATTTAAAAGGTACTTTTGATACGAAATGTGATTTCCAGATTGTAAAAAAAAAATCCCTAAAAATTTGCTGTTTTTTTTATTCGAGTTTTTGCAAATTCCTTCGTTAAATCACTTCGTTATTCGATCGTTTATTTTTTCCTGCATTTTTCCCTCTTTCTTTAAACATTTCCCTGCAAATATTCTCTTTCTTTTATGAAATTTTCACTTTTACAGGTGGTAATTGTTCTAATAAAATATAACAACAACAATGGAGAAATTTCCTGATTAGAATTTGTTTTAATAGCAGTTTTAAGGAAATTTTTGCCGAAAAAATTCGAAATATAACCTATATTGAGGAAATTTATTTGTAGGGAAATTTCCCGATTCAACTGGAAACTCAGGAATTTTTCAGTTTGTTTGCAGGAAATTAACCGGTACGAGCAAAAAAATTCCCTACAATTTTTCAGGTTGTAGGGAAATTTTCGTTAACGAAGCGGAAATTTCCCTAACTTTTTTACTTCTACAGAGAAATTCTCCACATTTTTTCTGAGTCTAAGAGGGAAAATTGGCGAGAACGAACGAAAATTCCCTAAACTTTTCTTTAACTGAAATTTCCCTAATTGAAAGATTCTTTACAGTTTTCATTACTGAAAATCGCATGGAATTTCCCCGCTTCGAGTTGACGGTGAAACTGGAGTTAACGAAACTTGCAGCAATTTTTTTTTTCCTCCCCTCATTAATTCTTAATTTACTGGGGTGCATTTAAACTTTATTTAAGTACCCTAAACGATGGGACAAAGAAACGTAACTACATAAGAAGTAATTGAAGCAGCAATTACTTTAAAATTCCTCAAGGACAATTTCCGGAGTAACCCTCACTTTTTTTTTCTATCCAGTTTCGATTTCTTCTTCTTCCTTTTCCCGGAGATAATCGAAAATAAATAAATCAAGGAAAAGAGTAAACAGACACCGGTAGAATAATTATTGGAGATGATGGTTGCTTGGGCATTCCAATTTCTGGATCCAACATCTACGGAATTGCACGTGATCAATAATAATCCCACGACATTCTTTTCGTCCTATACCGTGTGAATTCTAAACATTGGAGAGGGATCGACAACCTCGAAAAAGAAAGAAAAACTCACTTCCTAGCCCGGCAGCTTCACTCGTTTACACGTGAGAAACACTCGCCATTCCTATACAAAAATACAAGGAAATCAATGAAAGTAGTCCTCCTAAAAAACACTTTTGATGAAGGGCGTGTTGAATTTTCAATGATGATGATGATGATGATGATAATGATGATGATAATCAACGTTGGCGAACAACACGGCAATTACGTTTAATTGATTGAAATTTATGCCGAAGTTGTGTTTTAAAAAGTCTTTTTAAGTGTCTTATCGGAGAGAGATTTCGTTAATCTAATTATCTAATTTGCATACAAGAGAAAATTTGGATGATGTACATCGCTTCTTTAGTTACCCTGTCTCGCTATTTAATGAATTTAATAAAGAATAGAGGAGTCGTGATGTAAAAAGATGGAGAATCTTGGGATTCTACACTTCTCCACCCTACTGAAGAAGTGTTTTTTGGATGCTGGTGACGTCCCCAATCAATGTATCCCCATCATCACCACTATTATAGCTATGTAGGAATGGAATTCTCGTATAGAATTACATAACCTTATAGTGATAATGCCCCCTTGTGATCCATACACAGAAGGACTCTTATGATATATATACAGAAGTGTATGTAAAACATATTTTTAAATTAAACCAGAGTTAAGACCTCGTTACACTTTGTACAATATGTTACATGAACACATGGGGCATGCTACATTTCTACTTTATGATCGGATTATTTAGTAAAGTAGAAATGTAGCATGCCCCATGTGTTCATGTAACATATTGTACAAAGTGTAACGAGGTCTTAACTCTGGTTAAAGTGTAACGAGAAGTTAAATTTGGTAAAGGTCAACGAATGATTTAACATTAACAGACAGACCCAACTTTCTAAAACATCGTACAACAGGGAAAATTTAAAATGCGAATAAATGTTAAATCATTCGTTGACCCTTACCAAATTTAAGTATATACTATAAGGACTAGTGAATAACTTAATAGTCATGTTTCCCACGCGTTCAAAGGTCTGTATTCGATTTTAAAACACGTTTAAACTGACAAACCATCCATGGTCCATTTATATTTATAGATGTAACAAGTAGGATCTAATCGAGCTTTATGTTATTTGTACCCCAATCTCGAATTCAAATAACACAAAACAGGATTTGTACTTTGTATAAAAACTTGTCCACTTAAAATATACAAATGAATAAATTATATAATTACACCATTTAACACAGGATTTATTTAATATATATATATATATTTTTTTTTCTCTTTCTCCTCGACAGCTCCTTTCCAAACCTCCCTAAAGTTGCCTAGAGACAGAGGTAAGAAACACAACTTTTTATTGAATTTTTAATTATAAATTAACTGAAAATCTAGTATATTTTAACACGTGAAACCAGCATGGAAGAGGGGGGAGGGTTTAAAGTAAAAAATCCATCCTAGCAAGATTTCTTTTTTTTTTTTTATCTACAAGAATATAAATTTTAGATAGACATCAAATGACCCACAGGTCACACTCGAAATGTCGGCTGTTGCCATGGGAATAAGGCAGAAGAAGTAATCCATGTGGTGCACACACACACGGGTAATCTAATGGATGGCTGATCAATCTCATATGATGCGTGAGACATCCCCTGTTTGACCTTGATTGTTGTTGGACGGAACTAGGCTTTCTAATGACTTTCTTTCCCTTTATTTTTTGACCTAGCAAACACACTAGACACTCGAAAAAGAGAAGAAAAGAGTATTTCGTTTCCTCGATATAATAATAATCCTGTTTTATGAATTACATTATAACCACGTTTAACTTGCCAGGGATGTTATAGCTGATGTCGTAAAAGTGGAGGAATTTATTCCTTTCACTCTTAAGAAGTTTTATAACATCAAAAGAAAGTTAACTCGTAGAATACAAATAGTTCTCATATATACACCGCATCTAAAAAAATTCTCTAAGGGATTAATGCGTATAGGATTGACCTTTACACTACTAAGCAATAACTTGTCGAGTTAATAGTCGTAAAAATACACGTGAGGTCAACACGTTAGGATGGATTTTTTTTTTTTTCTCTGGGTAATTTTTATGACTTTTCGAAGGGAAAGGAATGAGAATATCTTCTTAAAGAATTTTCTGTTCTATTTTTTTTTTAGGGTGTTATTATCTAATGAAGCATTATTCGAATGGAGAAAGGATCGAAACGAACGAGCCTTGCCTCAATTGTACGTGTGCCAATAGCATGTTGATGTGTTACTTGAGGATCTGCCCTTTTGCTAAACCATTAGGATCCGATTGTACTATAGAAAGAGCGGAAGGAGAATGTTGCCCCAGCGTTTGGTGTCCGGGAGGTGAGTGTATGCACCGTAATTATCTGTTATGAATATTAAAATTGTAACACACTCCAATACATCAAAGACTACAGCGGCTGTTGTACATTCGCTAGTGATTTTGGTGCATTGGAGGTAAGTTCGACACACCAATTACTTGGTTCCGGATATTAAATTTCGTACTAGAAGAGCATCAAATCTGAACAATTGATCACACTCGAGAACACTAAAAGTAGAGAGAGTGTAGCCACTGTTACACACTCTCTCTAGTACTGTTCTGTAACACTATGTGGTAATGATTTTCTCGAAAACGTGTGTCTGACCTTTCCAGCTTTTTTTAAAAAAAAAGTAAAAGAAAGTGGAGAAAACTAATTTTTTTCCTTTATCGAAATTATATCTCTTTCCTTTTCTAGAAGTGTTTTTTGACTATAAAAAACACAAGAAGATAAATTTTTAAGATGTGCAGTAGCCAAATCGAGTCATATACTTTTTCAGTTTATGATAGAAATTGTCTGAGAAAAGTAAATTTTTAAACTTCTTGGCGATAACGATAAAAAGTTTTTCTACTCTTAAGTAACTTTATTGTGTTTTCCTGTACAAGGAAGAGGGTAATTACTCCAAAAATGTCCCCATCAATCGGTTTGTTTTTAGGATAAAGTACATAAACTTTCACAGAACTTTACTTGGGAATGTCATTTTCTAAATCGTTTTATTTATTTATTTTCCCCATTTAGATGTTTCTCCCACTCCCCTTCCAACGACTACCGAGGAACCAATGGGTATGTAAAATTTTAATAACCCTTTTTTTTATAATAATCAAATGAAATTTAAAACTAAGTTTCTTCCCTTATTTCTTAACAATCACTTTTTCCAAACTCGTCATTCCATTTTTAAGCATTTTTATTTTAATTTATATATGTATATATAAATACTAGGGATGTGTGAAATAACTTTTTTACTATTTCCTGCATATACTCACTAGCATTTACTTATCTTCTCTATCCATTCTCAGCATTTCCTCACCTTTCCTGCTCATCCTCACTAGCATTTACTTATCTTCTCTATCCATTCCCAGCATTTTCTCACATTTCCNTTTTTTTTTTTTTGTATCTTCTTCGTAACAAAAACGTGACGCGTGACGTTTCGACCGAATGCGATTACCGCTCGGGGGGGGAGGGGGTGGAAACGTTTGAAAATATCGGTTTCTATAGGCAAAGTATGTTTTAAGAATAGTAATTCGCTTTCCCCCTTTTCGCCTAGATGAATCATTTGCAAAAAAAAAAGGGTTTTCGTCATCCGGACAAGGACATTTCCATCACTAATTCTCTTACAACCTTGTGTGTATATAAATTTATCTCTTTTCCCCCTTTCTCTATTATTTTAAATGCGCTGTTTTCCTCAATTTTTTCACAGTTTATATATACCTATTACTATTTTTAGGAATGATAATTCATAAGAAAAAAACGTGGCGTTTCTTAATACTTTTACCAATCCAAACAGCAATTTCTTCTCAATCATTCTCCAAATTTACCATTTTACTTCAATTGTTTTTTTTTTCTCTTTAAATTATTTAATTAAACACACGAAACATCGTATCTTTCCAGAATTCCCCCTCTCAAAACATACTTTTTCGAGCATCTACATTTCGAATCCTTCAGAAAATACTCCACCCCCCTTTTCTCCTTATATCAGATAATAATATTTCCGAATGCCGTGTTAAAAAATTGATGACACGAAGCGAATCCTTTTCCTCCTCCTCCTCCTCCTCCTCCTCTTCTTCTTCTTCTTCCATCCTCCACAACCAGACGTAAGATTCAATCCTCGATACCTTCAGAATCGAGTGAAAGTAACTCGAATAGTTCGTGTGTGTGTGTGGGGGGGGAAGGAAACGGATGCACTTCGTACAGATTAACATCAATATTTAAAGTACCGTCGTGTCGCAATTTCTAAAAATTCGTGTGTTCTTTTTTTAGAATCTATACAAAAGGTAATTGCTACGGAAGTTTTCTTGGTGTTTTCATAGATTTTTCCTGCTGGACAGAATAAAAAAAACACACACACACACACAACGTCGATTGCCTTGAACGTTTGTTAAGATACGTGTTCGTCGATGTGTATGCAATTATTATTCAATATTGCTGTTATTATCTTGCTACTGACTCATCGATAAATATCTCTTTAAAAGCTTTAACAAAATCGATAGAGGATAATTTAGTGTTCTTTTTTTTTTATATTATTATTTTATTATATATATATATATATTTCTCTCTCTCCTTCTAAGAAAAGCAGAACACGTGATGAAATTTCGCTGGAAAGACGAAAAATGATATTTTTTACGTGTTATCTCCTCCCTTTAGAGTGATTGTGAAGGGTCGAAAATTGAATTTTTTTTTGTGGATAGAACTAGAAAGTTTGGTTCGATTTTTTTCTTTTTTTGGGGGGGTTAATAAAGTGTAGATACGTCTCCACCTTCAGAAATTGTAGATGTGTCTTGGCATATGTTTAAAAATTCAAATTCGTCTTGATTTCTACGTGTTCACCTTCAAAAAATGCAAATACACCTTCACGTTTACGAGTGTTTTTTTTTATTTACGATTTAAATCTACACATTTGTACGTGTTCACGATTCAAAAAAACACACACATTACAGAACACGTATCCTCTTCATCCTACCCTATTGGTGCTTTATTGTATCTGCGAGTGTTCCTTGTCCTCTTTCGTATGCACGTTATAATTTCTTTTTTTTTGTACTTTATAAGCACGTACTGTACAAGTTCGTGTACGAAGTTGTTTATCGTACGGGGTGTGAGCCCTTTTGTAAAAATTCTGGTTGTGCTCTATGGAACACGTTATAAAGACGTCGGTAGCGGATGAAGGGATGAAAGGAAACGTGTGGATTCCTATTAAATTCGTGGCACCCCGCTTGATACATCCTCCGAAAACAATAGGGAAAAAAAAAATCTATTAGTTATTTTTCACGTCTCGCGGCCGTAACAATTCTCCAGTCTTTCAATATCGAAAAAGGTAAAAGATCGTCCTTGAAAAGCGACCGAGAAAGGTCAGGAAACCATTGTCGCCTTTGGCCATTTTTACGTCACGTGATCGCGATTGTCAATCGTTCATCAATTGACCTTTAACTATAGTCCAAGGTCGATAGCGGAAGAACAAAAACAAATCATTTTCTTCTTTTAAATTTTAACAAGATAAATACCCCCCCCTCCTTTCGATATTATCATAAAATAATAAAACTGTTACGCGTAACTTTCATAAAAATAATAATAATAAAAAAAATGTCACTTCTTTTCATTGAAAAACCTTCCAAAAATGTTTATCCTCGCGCCTCCGGGTATAATTAACCCAAGTTATACAATACGTGAGGTAAGTCTGGCCCGATCTTACCTGGAGAAGGTCAATCAGTTAGTAGGTCAGCAGCTGACAGGTGTGAGGTAGGAGCAGACAATAGAGATGGGAGAAGTTCTGTACAACGCCACTCCCTTGTTCCCACGACTAGTGCAATATTGTGTTTTTCGACATTGCGGGGATTTTTCCCGCTCTGGTATGTTGTCCTATCCTATTAGGACTCATGGGAAATTGAAGATTTTTGTAACAATCGCTCTTAAATTTCTCAAGGATGAATTTCTTTGCAACTCCTGTCAACAAATATTCCGCTCCACAGTTACGTCTGCAAACATACAACACGGCCAATCTAAGCTATTCTATCCAACCGACACCCAATTTCAATAGGGAAATAATCTGTTCTTCCACAGATTACAGTATATGTTAAATACAATATAGAAGAGTGAGGATATCCGATGAGGTGGTATATATCCCCATTGTTATAAATTTGAATTAAAGCTATGAATACTTTAAGGAATTTAAGGCATTCAATATTTAAGTGATTCGTTGAAGGAAGAACAGTGAGCAACCGAGCGAAGATCAACACTGAGGAAGGATGAATCGTATGAAAAAAGATCATCTTGAACCATTGAAGAAAAATTACCTGTGAAATAAAAGAAGTTAGCATGAAATAAATGATGAGAAAGGGTAAAGATTCAGAAAGCATGAACACTGTGGAAGCATCAGTGAGCCATCATGAAAAACTTGATTCATTGAGAAACAGCTCTAAGAAGGGGTAAACTACCGAAGAGATACGAATGAGAAAGGAAAAAAAACGAGCCGCTGAAGAAAGATGAAAGAACAAGAAAAAGAATGAGCCCTTACTTTTATCTATTGAGTAAAGTCACTGGATAAAAATCAGAGCAAATTAAAAAATAATGAAAAAGAATCAGACGAAACAATTGAGAAAAATTACACTCTCGAAGAACACATCTTTTCAGTTTACCCAACACGAAATCCTGACAAGACACTTTACACCTTTTTTCCCTTAAAATGCTCGAACGTCAAATCGTGAATTACTACGTAACGAATTTACAAAAAGTCTTAAACGAACGTGAGGTAATAAATATTTACCGTATACACAACGGGGTAATTAATGAGCACGAGCGGAGTACATTCATTTCTCTTCAATCACTTAAGATAAATATTAAGCCATTAAATTATCCAGGTAAAGATAATCAAATGTTAGTAATTAAACTAATATTAATGTATATATTTCCTAAGTAATTTACTTTCGTGAGACAGTATAAATGGATAATAACTCCATCCATCTTCTAGAATCCTTAACTTTAACAGGAGCTCACTGATAAAGAGGAGAAGAGACAGCAGCAGCCAACCGGTTTGATGATGGTTTCAGGGGAATCCCCTAAATTTATACGTGCCATTTATACGTGTATATACAATTTATACTGTCCGTCTAGTAGATTTCTATAGGTATACAACCTTAAAGATGCTTACCCCCTAATCTCCTGTATCCAACGTAATTATTTTGTTTAAATTCGTGACGTGCATGCTTCGTGAATATAAAATTATTACTACTTTATGATTAAAAACAAAGGATAAACTGAAATTCTTCTATGATATCTGATTTAAAAAAAATATATATATATATATAAATTTCTGAGAGGGACAAATAAGGAAAGTCTGATAGTGTTATTACGACTTCCTCGTTTTCATTGTTTATACAAGAACAATGTTATAACAGTACTTAATGATATATAACTATTTGGATATCTGTTATCCATAGGGTCATTCAGGGTCGAGACCGGATTTTTAGTAAATAGAAATATCATGCAAGCTTCAACGAGTGTCGTTAAAATGGTGGTCCTGCATTCTTGTTGATTCTCCTATATATTGGTTCATCTATACGTTAGTTCCTATCTCCTATATTCGCCTACATATCAATCCTAATGCTATAAATTTATTCTTCTATACATTTTCCCCCATCCCATCTACTTATCTACCTGTATATATTAGTCCTTTTCTATGTATAATTTAATAGGCAGAATCGTGAGAAACGACACAGCGATGCGTCAAAACACCAACTTATCCAAATACCAATCTATACACTTTAAAGTAGGATATACGGAGAGGGAGTGATTAATTTCCACACCGGAGGAATTAAACACCAACGGCAAATAACCCACCACAAGAGAGAAAAAAAAAATTCGAAGATAAATTGAGTCAGAGCCATAAAGTTAAGAGATGAAACTGTAGATAAGGATATTGATGCGGTGTCATTTTTTTTTTAAAAAGAAAATCCTCCCTTTATAAAATTTACAATAATTCAAGCAAATTCGATGTAGTTTTAATTAAAAAAAAAAGGAGGAAGATAATCGAGATGAGTCAGAAGAGGGACGAGTTAAAAGTTATAGCTTTATTA